CTATCAACACTGTATGGAATAGCCCAAAGGCATCAGCCAGGGTAATATGCTATGAATTCCCCTTAATGCCAACGTTTGTGCTGCTAAACAGTGGGAAGCAGAGCAGCATGGCTATGTGTTGCCTCTGCCTCCTCTTAAAAACTCTACAAAAATCTGAATCATTTTACAATGCAAACTTGCAGTTTCCTTCTCCACTCCCATTCTAGATATTAAGCAATCCCCTGTGCCAGTGCTGCCTCGCACTTCACATCTGCTGCTCCCCTCCTGTCTGTTTAATATTCATCCCAAGCATGAGCACCCTGCCTTAATGCACCTGCAGTCATTGGCAGTGGGTGAGCAGCTGAGGAGAGAGAAAAATTACAGCCCTGCACCTCCTGACACCGCGTGAGGGGCTCCATATGCTCTGTGCTCACTGGAAGATCTGAGACTGGCATTGCATCACAATCATTCTTCCCACTTTTGAAAGCAAGTCTGCATCTAAAGCGTGGCACGACGTGACCATCAGCTTGGTGCAGGGCTCAGCTTTTCCCTTTTAAGACTGGTTGGCATAGAGCTTGGGGAATCTGTAGGGCAGGATAGAAGGCTCCGTGAGGGCATCATGGGGTGATTATATTAATTTTCATGAAAGTCCATGTGCTGCAAGCTCTTCTGGGGTAGAAATAGCTCTGTTTGTTCCAGACAGCCCATGTGTGAAAGGCTCACTGATGTCCAGAGCTTCTCTTCTTCCTCCCCCTCCCATCTCTCTGACCAACAGGTTACTTTGATGACAGAGATTTCCACCTTCCACAGCCAGCTCATGGACTGGGCAGGACGTATGCCCAAGTGATGCAGTAAGCATTCCATCTCCAACAAAGGGGCTGGAGAATTGTTATCCTGCAGTTAGGGGTGCAGGAATGTTTCCCTTCATTTCCAGAGCAAACCTCTCAGAGCTGCTCCCAGCCTCATGTGGGCATTGCAGAGCTGCTTCTCCCACTGATGGAGGTGCTGGTCCAGCTGAAGAACTACAGTGGTGACTGGGGGATGTGGAGAAAGGGCCCATCTGTCTTGCTTTTGGGATGGTTAGGGGAAGCCTTGGACATGCCCAGCATGGGAAGTTGCACTGAGGCTGCACAGCTGATTCTGGCTGCGTGCAGGAGAAGCAGTGAGATCCAATGAACTGAAATTGCAGCCTCCCCTGCAGCAAACAGCTTAAAATCCATTCCTGGATGCAGACCATGCACAGGCAGTAAATACACCTATATGTTCTGAAGAGATCGACCTGTTCAGCTCCTTCTGTACTGCCCCTGAACTACTTTCAGCCTCATTTTCCAGTACAAGTGAGGTCATATTTACACCTTTTCCAATCTATGAGCAATTAGCAAATATTGGGCAGTTTGAACCACACATTGATTTCTTCTTCACTTTTTCATGGAGCTATTGAGTGTCACCAAGCCAGGTTCATTACCAAGGGATGAATACTTAATATCACCATTTGCAATGAACCACGTGTTGCAGTCTAAGAAAGACATCAACATGATTTATTTTAATTATATTTATTTCCTGTAATTTTTTATTCATTGAGTCCTTCATCAGCTATTCCACATTTTTGCCAAGGATCAATTTCCAGCTGTAAATCAGTAACAGCATTAGCCTTATGAATACTTGGCTCTCTCCATCTGCCCTTTTAAAGCACCGGCACAACTTCAGCTCTCATCCAAACCTCTGCACTCAGGTGTTAGTGAAAATAACAGCTATTTAAATAGCTCTTTGGCCACCTCCTTTAAAGTCAAGGCCTATTCTGGCAGGTTGGTGATGTTCGACGTACTGCAGTGGGGTCATAGACCTTGCCAGAGGTGTTTTAACCCAGTGCTCCACATGGAGCATCTGTGGCACCCACGTTATGATCCCTGTGAGTCTGCTACCTGTTCTGTGGGTACAGTAATGGATACAAGGGGAATACGGTGACGTGCCCCTCATGCACAAAGTAGCCCAAATCACTACTTTACAACAATCACTTTGACACTTTGTCAGTTGCACCACACTGCAGTGACTGCTGGAACCAATAGCCATTAATTACCTTTGTCAGCTGACATTTCCTTAATTGTCCACAACTTTGCTTCCATGAACTCGCCAGTTTGAGCTGTCAGCACCAGTTTAAAGGCTGCAGCTCTCAGGAAAAATCTTTAGGAAAAATCCAGGTGAGTTAATGGAAAGTGAAGTCACCTGGCTGTGTGGGATGGGTGCACATCCTAGTGTCACCTGCCTTCATTGAGGATTGTAGCAGGAAGGTGCTCAGCCAGCTGCTATTTAATTCAATGGAATTCTTTTATGTCCTTTCCCTAAAATACCCAGAAATGGGGCAGCATACTGCCTGGAGAGCTGCTGCTCCCTGGACCTTGACCAGAGGCACATGGAGCAGGCAGCACGCAGCACTGCATGGCTGCTGCATCCAGCAGCTCCATGCAGATGTTTGTCGAGCTGTCAGGGCACCAAGAGGGAAATGAATTAATCAGAGGTGTAGAAGGTTAGTTAAATCTTTTCTGGAAGTACTATACAGCCATTAAAATTGCATAGGAAAGTCAATAATAATGGGTAATAAAGTTCTTCTGAGAAATTAAATAGGAGCCCAATTTTTAATGCAGCTTGGCATTCAAAGCAGAGTGTTCCACATCCTGGTACATGATAAACATTTACTAATTAATCCCCACATACCCTCAGCAAGGTAGATCTCTTCACACCACTGACGCTGTTTAATAAATGGGAACAAGAAGGTACAAGACACATCCTTTGAAGCTGGGGTTATGTATATTTTAAACATGGTCTGGGTCCCCGGGAGCCTGCTCAGCACATGTATCTGAGTAGCTTTTTGTGAAAAGCCTCAGAGCTGGGATCAGAAGTCAAGGTTTCTTTATGCTCCTTCGCATGCCCTGATCACAGCCGCATGTTTTGATGTGAATCTTCAGCACAGTCTCTGAAATACTGATATTTTTCTTGTGTTATCACATTACATTGCAGGAATGGTATTTAGAAGAAAAGCCAATGGACTTAAGCCTCAAGCTGTAGGAATTGGCCCACAGTGAAGCCACTAATTATGTGCAGAACCAGAGGAACAAGACTCAGGACCAGCTGGAAGCTGCTATTTGCTGAAGATCAGTAAGGATTGTATTGGATGTGGGTTGTCACATAGATGTGGATGCAGATGTGGATGGAACACCTCTCCTATGAGGACAGGCTGAGAGAGCTGGGGGGCTGTGCAGCCTGGAGAAGGCTCTGGGGAGACCTGAGAGCGGCCTGTCTGTATCTAAAGGGGAGCTGTAAAAAAGAAGGGGACAGACCCTTTAGCAGGGTCTGTGGTGAGAGAACAAGGGGAAATGGTTTTAAACAAATAGAGAAGAGATTTAGATTGGATATAGGGAAGATTTTTACAATAAGGGTCGTGAAGCACTGGCACAGGGTGCCCAGAGATATGGAGGATTCCCAGGCTTGGAGACATTCAAGGACAGGCTGGACAGGGCTCTGAGCATCTGATAGAGCTGTAGGTGTCCCTGTTCATTGCAGGCAGTTTGATTACATGGCCTTTAAGGATCACTTCCAACTCAAACAATTTTATGATTCTGTGATAGTTTTAGAAGTCTATGGATTGTATTTTGGAGGAGTGTTGTTCAAAGCAAATAGTCTATCGTCTGCTTACAGGCTTTGCTGAAAATGACTGTGTAGCTCCACTACCTCAGCTGAATATGGCTGGATAAGGAAGTACTCTTCCAGCTCATTTCTGGATGAACAGCCCTTCACACAACAAAAGCACTTAAGTTCCCTTAACTCTGCATTGGTGATGAGCTGTCCAGAGAAAGCAGTGTAACTTTTATACCTTCACAAGAATAGCAGCTCAAGAGTTTATCACAATGTTTGATACACCAGAGAGATCACTGCCTTACCTCATGTAATAAAGAACTGAAACATTCTTTTACTAGCTGTGGGGAGGTTGGTCCCTGCTTAGTGCAGAGCAAGGACTATTGCAGGGAATTTGAAGATTGTTCCCATCCTGCCCATCTTCTTTAATTAATTAACATTAAAGCTATGGTTTTACAAGATAAGACACTGGGTAAAACTCCAATTCAGTTGAATTCATTGAGAAGTTGTCCACTGCCTTCAGTGAGGATAAGGTTTTACCTAGTATTTTGATCAGACTTTTATAAAGTAGTGTTGAAAAGGATCTCAAGGGCCACCTTATCTCTCTTGCTTGGAGGCAGATCAGCTGCATCTGTGTCACTCCTGATGGATGTTTGGCCCTGAAAGGGCTGCAAGGCTTGGTAGCACCTTGAGCTCTGCTTCCATTTGTACCTGTCTCAAGATGTGAAAAGAAAAAGGGATTTTTTTTTTTAACAATTCTAACAGGATTTTTGACTGGTTTAAAGGACCAGTGACAATTTTAACTTCTGATGTCTCATGATCCACTAAGGATAAGAACTAATCCTATCCATCACGAGGGAACTTTCCCATGATTTATAGACATTTTTCCCTTTTATCTCTTCTTCTTGAAAGATCTGACACCAAATCATGTCATTCCAGTTCCAATCTGATTTCAGTGGCTGCCCCTAAAGAAGTGATAGTTAAAAATAATGCTGTTTTTTATCTGGAGGCCTGTCAATCTTTCAGCAGCACAGTACAAAGTGCATAATTCTAATTCTAGTAGTGAAATGCCAACAACAGTGTGGGCAACAAGGGAAGGCATGGAGGCCACAGAGCAACCAGGCAGAATAACTGTAGAGGGGTAAAAGAATTATTCAAGTCTGGGCCTTACAGCAGAGCACATCTATGGGTTGGTTCTGCTTTCAGAATGAAACTGTGCCCATCATTAACTGCCTTGAGTCTGCAGTCCAGTGCCCGTGGAAATTAAATGGGGTCTTTGCTTTGACTCAAGTGAACCTGAATCACACTCATAAATAGAAATACACGGCTCCACATTGATGGGAAATCTGAAATACTCACCTTGTATCCCCTGCAACGACAGGAAACCTGCCCCACATCTGCTCAAAATACATCTGTGATTTAGAATGGCAAACATGGACACAGTTCAACATTCACAGCCCAAGAAGGCCTGGGGTTTTGGAAAGTAAAAGTCTGAAGCAGATGCTTATCAGTTAGGCAATGAGACAGGTGGATTTCCCATGCATTATTTCTCATTCCAGTGTATACCATGCACTAAGCTTTCACAATAAATATTTTTTTAAAAAACCTGCTACATGGAACAGAATAGCAAACAGCACAATCTGTTGTTGATGTGAAAAAGGGCATTGTGGTTGGGATTCTGCTTTTAACCCTTCAACGAGGACATTATCTCTCAAACACAAACACTCGATAATCTCTACCAGCGAAAGCTATGACAGTCTGTTCAACCAAGCCAGGAACATTAAGTTTCATCCAGAGTCACCAACTGCCCTGACACTGAAGGCTCCCATCTTTGCAATGGGACAAAGCTGATTAATGCTCCAGGAGACCAGCAGTGGGCCACACCAGAGTTTCAAATGGGAACCTTTCCCAGAAGCCATCACTGTCACCTCAATGTCCCGAGAGCATCACTGTGAAGGGAGGAGGAAAGCAGTGGGGCACTGGAGGCAGAACTCTTTGCTGCTAGCCAGAGAAACCTTTGCATGCTGCTTCATGAAAAATAGCAACTGCATAGGAATGGGGACCATTGCTGGGACATAACTATGGGGACACATCCGTAGCATCACTGCAGTGTTTGTGGTTCTCAGCTTCCTCAGGAGTTTGTTAGGTTCCACTGAGAGCTGACAATAGCCTCGTGGGGCAGAGAAAGCTTCTCTTGCTCAGTGCTGTCTAAAGAATAGGTTCCGGAAGGCATTGTTGTAGTTTTTGTTGAAAGCAGTGTAAATGAGGGGATTAAAAAAGGAATTGGAATAGCCTAGCCATAGAAAAATACTCTTCCAAATGGGCGGGATGTCGCAGGAGCAGAGTGGGCTGATGAGCTCCGTGATGAAGAAGGGAATCCAGCAGAGCACGAAGACTCCAATGAGGATGCCCACCATGAGGGCAGCTCTCCTCTCCTTCTGCTCTCTCCACGTGTCTCCGTCTGTCTGGAACGTAACCGTGGCGTGTCGGACAGTGAAGACCATCTGTGGCTGCTGGGCAGCTTCCTTTATCTGCCAAAGACAAACACAAGTCACACTGTATGCGTCTCGGACGGCTGATCCTGCACAGTGGGTATGCAGCCAAGGCACGGGGAAATGCAAGCCATCTACGTCATGCTCAGGTTGGAGTGAGGCTGGGGCTGTAGTCCTTTCGTGGGTGACCTGAGCCAATAGGGACATATGTGTGCATAGAATTGCTCACATATCACGAGAATATTATTTCCCTGCTTATGATTGGATCAGCAAAAGAGGCACACAACCACAAGCCATGCACACAAGCCTTGCTTTCTCCAAACACATCAAGAGTTTTTAATAAGGAAGGTGGGACAGTTAAGATACTTCTCCTTTCCCCTTAAGAAACCTTTACAATGCACAATCATCATTCTCAAGATCAACTGACACAACCCAGGAAGGTCTTGCATGGGTAAATCCAGACCCTTATCAAATCCCATTTGCTCACCAGCTGATCCTCCCAGCTGTGTTGGGATCCCATTCCTTCACACCCTGGGTGCAGCTCAGCCCTGTTGCTCCTAAGAGCTCCCTAGAGCAAAATGCAAGCCAGGTGACCTACCTCTAGGGCTTCTGGTGAGACGGGAGTGATGGAGTTGCTCTTCCGAGATCCGATGCGAAACTTGGCCGCCCTGTAGATCTTCCAGTAGACAAACAGCACCACACAGAGGGGCAGGTAGAAGGCCCCGAAGGTGGAGAAGATGGTGTAGGAAGGCTCCTGGCTTACCTGGCATTCCTCACTGTCCTCCGAGTAAGTCTCTCCCCAGCCAAAGAGCAGCGGGGCCAGGGAGATGAAGGCAGAGAGCGCCCAGATAAGCACGATCATGATGTTGGAGATTCGGCGCCGGGTGCGCAGCGTGTACTCCAGGTGCCGGGTGATGGACCAGTAGCGGTCGAGGGCGATGGCAGTGACGTTCCAGATGCTGGCAGTGCAGCACAGAACGTCAAAGGAGATCCACACTTGACAAAGTGAGCGACCCAGCCGCCACCGCCGCCCTGATAATTCGTGCACCAAGCTCAGGGGCATGACGAGGGCTGCCACCATCACGTCGGAGATGGCCATGGATGCCACCAGGTTGTGGGGCACCCGATGAAACGTGCGCACGCGGAAGATGGTGGCCAGGACCAAGCCGTTCCACAGGAAAGTGGCCACCACCAGCATGGCCAGGAGAGTGAGGACAAGCACGCTGAAGACGGAGAGCTGTGCCCTGCCGCCCTCCAGCCCTCCGGATGACCCGCTCCGGTTACTGGCATCCGGCGTCGCACCGCCGAGGCAGCTGATGTTGAGCTGGCGGTCCATGCCACCGCGCTGGGCGCCGGGACTCTTCGGTGCTCGGTGCTACCGCGAGAGCGCAGAGCCCCCGGCCGCCCCTCGGCGCTCCGCGCTGCCCTTCGCCGGGGTCTTCATCCCCGGGAGGAACAGCCGTGCGTCAGCAGCCGCAGGCTGACGGCAACCCCCCGGCCCCGCGCCCGCCCCGGCGGCGGCGGCGGCGGCGGCGGAGCTGCGGCTCCGCGGGCGCGGCAGCTCCGCGGCTCCCCCCGGCGGAGCGGATCGGGGCGGCGCGGAGCAGCGCGGAGCGGATAGGGGCGGCGCTGCCGACGGGCGCGGAGCGGCGGCGAAGGAGCGGGCGGCGGGCAGGTGAGTGCCCCGGGCCGGGTGCTTAGTCATGGCACGGCGCCGGTCTCACCTCGCCATCGGAGCCGGGCGGCGCGGGTAGCCGAGCCGGGATGCGCGATGCGGGATGCGGTTTTGTCTCCGCCGGGGCCGCTGGGGGTGGGGGTTCCCCGCGGTGGGGCGTAGGGTGGATAGCAAAGGGAGAAAGTTAGCGTGCGTGTTGCATTGTACGCAGGTCCTTCTAAAAATCTGCTGGGGAATGTCATGGCAATGTTACGGCTTTCATATAATCTGTATGAACCACCAGCTGGTCGTTCTGCTTGTCTGTGTCGAGGGATTATTTCTTTGAGAACTTCTGCTCTGGCGTTTCCTAACTTGTTAGCAATCGGTGAGCCCTTTCTTAGTGGTAATCTCTCCCTTTGCTATTGCTATTGACTAGTGCATGGGTATTTCACCTGCCTGAGATAAGAAACGGGATTGTGGGCCTCGGAGCAGAAAGCAGAATAGGGATGCACCGAGCAGGTTTCTTGTGCACCAGCTCCATGCAGGATCCAGCCTGGGCAGCTCTCGGCAGGGCTGTGCCTGCGTGGGCACACTGCTGCTCCGGACTGCCCCACTGAGGGCTTCGAAGGGCTTCCAGGTAGGAGCTGCTGTCACCGGGCATGGGCACATGACTGGGACAAGAGCAGGTGCCAACACACAGCACCTGCTACCTGCATTGGCAGGACGGCCCTGTGGGAAGAGTGTTAGGAAATGGGGGCAGTGGCACTTGCTGGTGAATTGCACTTTCAGAGAGTCAGGAGAGAAAACCCAAATGAAGGTGATGCTGTGAGGTGTACCTTGTGCGTGCTGTGCTGTGTGTTTAAAGGCAGCCTCACAGACAGCCCCTATGTGGAGTTGGGAATGCAGTGCAGGGAAAGCCCCGAGTCCAGTGAGAGTTCTGAAGGCAGTCACCTTGTTTTGGTGGAAGGGGGATCTGCCCGTACAGATTCATGCGTTGCTGTGACATTTGTCCTCAGAGCCAGGAAATAGGAGCTGGTCTGATTTGGTTGTTAGAAGGGATGTAACCTTAGGGATTGTAACATGATTTCTGAAGTATACTGCCATCTTCTTGGGGGAGAGATTGTTTTTTTGTCTTTCGTACACATAAATACTGACAATTTGGAATGGCTAGTTTCTGTACTTATGATTCAGAGGACAGATGAGGTTTGTGTGCTTTCATAAAAGCCTCCTGATTTAAAATTCCGGGTTTGCAAGGTGCCAGATGTCCTTGACTATCATTCAACTGATCAGAACACTTAGCAACTGCTGGCACTGAGAGGTTTTTGTAGTATGGGTCCTTCCTGGAGAATCAGATGAAGCCCGTAATTCACAGAATTATCCACAAATTATAGAAAATATGTCGTTATTCTTTGCTTCAGGAACAAATACAAAAATTACATTTAAAGGGAAATGGAAATTAAAATGTATTAAATCTGAAGAAGTAAAACTACATTATGTTCTAATGACAAAATTATTCATGTTTTCATGATCTCACTTACTGAACTTTTAAAAATATGTATTAGCAGATTCTGGAGTTGAATGAGTTGGTTGAGTATTAATTGAAAATAGAAATTGGAGACAAATACATACAAATATATATGTATGTATAGAATTTATATAGAAATGCAGAATTCTTCACTTAGGATGGAAGAACCCTATGCAGCCCTTTGCAGCAGGACCTGGGTAGCTTCCTGGGTGAGAAATAGCAGCCTGCATCTGGCCAAAGGTGCTATGGAGAAGAGTGTAGCCCACAGGTCAGGGGATGTAATCATTCCAACTTCTTGGAATATCATGTCCAGTTTGGGTTTCCTCTGTAAACAGTGCTGACAAACTGGAAGAAATCCAATGGAAGGTCATCACAATGGTGAGTGGACTGGTTTCTGATATATAAGGAGGTGGACAGTTGAGTTTTTCCACTCTAAAAAGAGGAGATAAAGGGAAGAATCTTAGTGCTGTCTCCAGCTGCCTTATGTGAGGGTGTAGAGAAGGGGGTGGCAAACTCTTCTTGGAGGTACGTATGGGACAGGATGCATTAGATGCAAGTTGAAATATTAGATATTCCAATGAGAAATTAGGAAACAAATGTTCACCTGGACAGCAGACAAGATTTGAAATGAGTCCAGAGAGGCAGTGAAATCCCCATCCTTGGTTATATTCAAAATCCATCTGGACAAGACTGGGAGGACATTTGCACTTTGAAGAGGGCCATTCTTTAATGGGAATTGGACTGAGTGAGTGTTCTCCAGTGGTCCTTCCCACGCTGGGGGATCCCACAGCTCTGATTCTGTAATCCTTAGGTAACGTGGCTTAACGTCCCAGATGCTGGAAAGTGACTGAATGTTGTTATTATTAAAGACCAATTGCTGTTTGCTTTACACACATTAATTTCCTCAGAATGTTGTTATTTATAATGTGAGTGAGGGTTTGGGATCTGTAGCAATTTGGTAGTGTTTGTGGAATAATCTCATCCATGAAACTCTTGAGAAAACGATCTAGGCTGCAAAATCAGGATTGTCTCACAGCTTCACAGATGATACTGGGGAATTAAAAGTGACACTGGTTCATTAGAATTAGCGGTTTCCCTCCAGTAGAGACCACTAAATGCTGTTTGTAACCAGATACCATATCACAGAATCACAGAATGGCTTGGGATGGGAGGGACCTGAAAGATCATCTAGTTCCAATCTCCCTGCTTTTGGCAGAGTTTGCCAACCACTATGCCCAGAAACCCATCAAACCTGGCCTTGAATGCCTCTAGGGACGGGGCATCCAGAACTTCTCTGGGCAACCTGTGCCGATTCACTCACAGTGCCAGCGAGTGAAGAATTTCTTCCTAACCCCTAACCTAAACCTCCCCTCTTCCAGTTTAAGTCCATTCCCCTTGACCTTATGCTATCTACCTGTGCAAAATTTGTTTCCCCTCAGGCTTGTAAGCTCCTTTCAAGTACTGGAAGATTTGTGCTGCAAAGCCTATTGCTATGTGAATGTCCAACTAGTTCCTTCTTGTGGGGATGGTGTGAATAGACTTTTACTGTCAACCTGTACAGAGATCTCTTGAACCTTTGCACTCAAAACAGGCAGAAAAGTGAAAGGAAATGACCCTGACAGGTGTTTTTTTCCTGAGCAAACCTGATGAATAAAGGAGAACTTCAGGCTATGGGGGAGGTGGTGCTGCTGGGTTGAGCTTTAAAGGAATATGTGTACTCAATTCATGCATACACCAGCACTGAAAGCTCTGCTCAGTTCCCAGCCAGGCTGCTCAGTAAGTGTGCAGCCTGTCAGCACAATTTGTAAAACTCAGGTAGTCATCAATTAAATTTCATTTAATGTTCCACATTTCCAGCTTGCTCATTTTACACCCAGACATGCTTTCTGAACACACTAGCACACCACCCACTCCTTTCCTGTAAAGGCAAAACTTTCAAAACGTAAAATACCCCAAATGTGAGGCTGTTCTCACACCCTCACAGCCTATCCACACTTCTGATTATCACTCTAGTCTTTCCAAAACGAAGATCTTCAGGCATGTGTTGTGATAGACTTGTGATGCCCCACTTCTGGCTTGGTTTGGATTTCAGTGCCCTGTAGTGATAGGAAGGCAGTTTTGGGAGTGAGAGGAGGCTGTATTACTATTTTAATTGCCAAGAGTTGTTCTGGATAGCTCTCTCTTTTGCTGAAGCTGTTTAGGAATGAGATATTTAGGGGAACACAGATTTACCCAAGCATTTGCAACAGTCAAGTGCCACAGCAACCGAAATATGAAGTCATTCTTTTTCTTCCAGTAAGCTGAAGTTACATTCTGCAGAGTGGAGCAGTTCCAGGCTGAGAAGCTGATAGGACACTTCAGGGTTGTAGAAGAACCCTGAGGTACTTCTCAGGGCAGGAAGAAGAAGGACCTCAGTGCTCCAATTCCCAGTGTCCCAGGGCCTGACCCCTTTGCTCAGTTGGGCTTTTCTGCTGCAGATGCTCAGGAAGAACACTGAAAAGTCTGATGCAGAAAATAGTAAATTGAAGTCCTTTTGTCTTTTCCTTTGTATGGCTGGAAAATTGTTCTGATTCAGCCTCTCATGGCAGGTTTAATTCACTTTAGGTCATGCAAGCCTTCCTTTAGGAATTATCACCATTTGTATGAGTTCAGTGACATATCTAAAGTTTAATTTTTGCAGTAAGAACAAAGCAGAACAAGAAAAAAGTGTTAAAAGAACAGCCTCTATCAGGTGTACCTCTATCACCTTCACCTAAGTCATCTCATGTAGTCTGCTTGTATGTGTCTTGAGTTTGTCCGCGATCTATTACATGGGTAGCCTGAAGGGAGGATGGACACAGTATCCAAGATACCACGTTTTTCTCAGAAAGTGTTCTGATCATCAGGAGTGTTTACTAACCTTCTACCGAGCGTGTGTTAACTCCTGTTGGAATTCATAGTCACAGAAACATAGAATAGCCTAGGCCAGAAGAGACCTCAAAGATCACCAAGCTCTAACCCCTGCCACAGGCAGGGCCACCAACCTCCACATTCAATACCAGACCAGGCTGCCCAGGGCCCCATCCAACCCAGCCTTGAACTCCTCCAGGGACGGGGCATCCACAGCCTCTCTGGGCAGCTGTTCCAGCACCTCACCACTCTCTCTGTAAAGAACTTC